CCTGTCGACGAAATGACTTGTCGACGAAATTACCCTGTCGACGAAATGACTTGTCAACGAAATGACCCTGTCGACGAAATGATTTGTCGATGAAATGATTTTTGGACGAAATGACCCTGTCGACGAAATGATCCTGTCAATGAAAAGATCCTGTCGATGAAAAGACCCTGTCGACGAAATGACCCTGTCGACGAAAAGACCCTGTCGACGAAATCAATTGCCGAAAAAATGACCCTGTCGACGAAATGATTTGTCGATGAAATGAGCCTGTCGAGGAAATGATCATGTCGACGAAATGACCCTGTCGACGAAATGACCCTGTCGACGAAATGATTTGTCGATGAAATGAGCCTGTCGAGGAATCGATCATGTCGACGAAATGACTTGTCGGCGAAATGACCCTGTCGACGAAATGACTTGTCAACGAAATGACCCTGTCGACGAAATGACCCTGTCAATGAAAAGACCCTGTCGACGAAATGACTTGTCGACGAAATGACCCTGTCGAGAAAAGGGCCCTGTCAATGAAAAGACCCTGTCGACGAAATCAATTGCCGAAGAAATGACCCTGTCGACGAAATCACTTGTCGACGAAATGACTGGTCGACGAAATGAACCTGTCGACGAAATCACCCTGCGACGAAATGGCCTGTCGACGAAACAACCCTGTCGAAGAAACGGCATGTTGACGAAATGACCTAGTCGATGAAGTTATTGTCGAAGAAATGAATGCGACCCAAAAAATCATAAGACTAGTTTCAAAATTACGCACGACTTTGCCTACAAAATAATCTTTTCTTAATATTGTCGACGAAATGACCCTGTCGACAAAACTACCCTATCGACGAAATGACTTGTCAACGAAATGATCCTGTCGACGAAATGACTTGCCAACGAAATGACTTGCCAACGAAATGACCCTGTCGACGAAATGATCCTGTCAATGAAAAGACCCTGTCGACTAAATGACTTGTCGAGGAAATGACCCTCTCGAGGAAATGACCCTGTCAATGAAAAGACCTTGTTGACGAAATCAATTGCCGAAGAAATTACCCTGTCGACGAAATGACTCTGTCGACGAAATGACCCTATCGACGAAATGACCCTGTCGACTAAATGACTTGTCGACGAAATGACTTGCCAACGAAATGACCCTGTCGACGAAATGATTTGTCGACGAAATGACCCTGTCGACGAAATGATCCTGTCTATGAAATGACCCTGTCGACAAAATGACTTGTCGACTAAATGACCTGTCGACGAAATGACCCTGTCGACGAAATGACCCTGTCGAGGAAAAGGCCCTGTCAATGAAAAGACACTGTCGACGAAATCACTTGTCGACGAAATCAATTGCCGAAGAAATGACCCTGTCGACGAAATGACCCTGTCGACGAAATGACTTGTCGATGAAATGAGCCTGTCAACGAAATGACCTTGTCGACGAAATCACCCTGCGACGAAATCACTCTGCCACGAAATGGCCTGTCGACGAAACAACCCTGTCGAGGAAACGGCATTTCGACGAAATGACCTAGTCGATGAAGTGATTGTCGATGAAATGAATGCGACCCAAAAAATCATAAGACTAGTTTCAAAATTACGCACAACTTTGCCTACAAAATAATCTTTTCTTAATATTGTCGACGAAATGACCCTGTCGACAAAACTACCCTGTCGACGAAATGATTTGTCGATGAAATGACCCTGTCGAGGAAACGATCATGTCGACAAAATGACTTGTCGACGAAATGACCCTGCCGACGAAATGACTTGTCAACGAAATGACCCTGTCGATGAAATGATTTTTGGACGAAATGACCCTGTCGACGAAATGACTTGTTGACGAAATGACCCTGTCGACTAAATGACTTGTCGACGTAATGACCCTGTCGACGAAATGACCCTGTCAATGAAAAGATCTTGTCAACGAAATCACTTGTCGACGAAATCAATTGCCGAAGAAATGACCCTGTCGACGAAATCACTTGTCGACAAAATGACCCTGTCGACGAAATGACTTGTCGACGAAATGACCCTGTCGACGAAATGACTCTTTCGACGAAATGACCCTATCGACGAAATGTCCCTGTCGACGAAATGACTTGTCGACGAAATGACCCTGTCGATGAAATGACCCTGTCGATGAAATGACCCTGTCGACATAACTACCCTGTCGATGAACCTGTCGAGGAAACGATCATGTCGACGAAATGACTTGTCGACGAAATGATTTGTCGACGAAATGACCCTGTCGAGAAAAAGGCCCTGTCAATGAAAAGACTCCGTCAACGAAATCAATTGCCGAAGAAATGACCCTGTCGACGAAATGACCCTGGCAACGAAATGACTTGTCGACGAAATGACCCTGTCGACGAAATCAATTGCCGAAGAAATGGCCCTATCGACGAAATGACCCTGTCGACGAAATGACTTGTCGACGAAATGACCCTGTCAACGAAATGACTTGTCGACAAAATGACCCTGTCGACGAAACAACCCTGTCGAGGAAGTGGTGTCGATGAAATGGCCTGTCGATGAAGTGATTGTCGATGAAATGAATGCGACCCTGTGATCCATATTTACTTGATTTCAAATTATACATTACGATTAATATTCACGTGATTTAAGAATGCACATTGTGATTCATATTCATGTGATTTAAAAACACGAATTGCAATTCATATTCGAGCAATTTAAAATCTCGCATTAAAGTTCATATTAATGCAATTTCAAAATCATGCATCAAAATTCATGTTCACACAATTTGAAAATCTCACGTTAGGGTGCCTACTGACACAATTTAATCATGCATAATAAGTAAGTGCGATAAGTTTTTACGCAATTTTAAAAAAAAAGAATTCTTGCATTGTCTTAATTAAAGGGTGATAATTTTCTTTAAATATGTACTTTTTGCATACATTTTTTGCTGCTCAAATTTTAGCATTTTTTCTATCATTTAAAATATGCTTTGCAGATAACATTTTTAGATTTCTGTGTTAATCATTTTTGGATTTTAACCAAATTCATCCCTGTATTATTATTATTATTAAAAATATTTTATTAAGATGTTATTTGTCAAAAATTTAATAAAGCTTATTTCATATAAGTAAGCTTTATATTAGAAAGCTATATTTCTATTGTCAGAAAACTTATTTTCTATTGATATTTTTCTTACTTAAGTTCTGTACTTTGCAATAGTTTTTTTTAATATTAATTTTCTTATTACTGTTTTTAAGTATTTCTATATTTATTTATCTAATTAACAATTTTCAGTTATAAAAGTGACTTGCAAAATTTTTGCAAGAAGGAAAAAGAGAGTGCTTATGTTTGACTGCACCTTTCATTAAATCTCATTTCCGATGAAAAATTTAAGGTATTCTTTTAGAAAGAGAATTGAATAAAAACTCTTAAAGAAGTCATAAAAGTTGAATTTTAAGGACTGAAATATTTATATTTTTAATTAAGCAAATGATCTTCTACCATCATTTTCAACCAGTATATTTAAATATAAATGAAGATTTTGTTCAAATGTCGTCTGACTTCTTTTATTTCATTTGTTTGAAACTTTTTTTAATTTTGCACAACTGCAGTTATAAATGCAATTTATTGAAATGATTATTTTATCCTCTTAATTTTTATCCCCTTAATTTTTATCCTTTATTTATGCTTAATATCTTACTATTCTGATTAAATGAATGAAAATACCATATTAGTAACTTAATAAGTGTAGTTACATAAGATCCTCACTTAGTTTATGCTCTCTGCCTGTCATCTGTAGCCCACCTCACTTTTGACGAGTTCACCCACCAGACCTGTTTCCACTACTTTTCTCTAAATTAGCTAGCATTTTTGCAATTTTTTAAAAGCAACCTGAAAACTTACACATCATACCTAAAGAATAACCAGTATCAGTATTGTCAGTAACAGTAATTGAGATTTGAGTTAAATAATTCCAACATCTATTACAATTGTTATAACAATTTCACATTTTAGTGAAACTTCCATGCTTCTATCTTCATTCAACGATATTTCTTTGCTCACAAAATCTAATATTTGGCGTTACAAATAAAAAATCAAAGTTGTCTGATGAAAATTGCATAAGTGTAAATAAAATATAGTTTGGATTTTCATAAAATTTTTCTTGATATACCTGGAAAAGTCAGGGAATTTTTTCCATGTAATTGAGTGGAAACCTTGGTGCAAAAATTTCTACTATGTTATTTAATTTGGTTCAATGCTTCGGTTTTATATAGGAATAACTTTAGTTATTGGATAGTAAATTCTTTAATGTGTTTAGGTGTCCTCTTCAGAAAAAAATGTTTGTTTTTTTTACTTTGTCCAATAACTTCTCTTAGTTATTCATATAAATAGAATTATATAAAACATGCTAATTTTCATGCTGTTTTCTTGAAATGTCATCAAACTGCCCAGAATTTCAATATTTCATTCTGTCTATCTTAAAGTCTTGTAATCACACCCTAAGGAAAACATTTGGAATTTGTGCAATTAGTTAGAGCATAGGAATTGCGCAATGAATTTTGTGTATTTTTACCGAATACTTTAAAAGCACTGAACTCCAATCATATTTAGTTTTGCAAAAATCACAAAACCACTCTTTTTAAGTTTAGTTCATATAAATGACTGATATTGAGAAATAAATCATTATTTTATTATATTGAAGTTTGTTTTTATTTTTAGTACTTAAAAACAAAACTGTCGTTCGAAGTTCTGTAAATAATAATATAAATTTTTAGAGTAAATTAACTATAAAGGAAGCTAATTTTCATGCTGTTTTCTTGAAATGTCATCAAACTGCCCAGAATTTCAATATTTCATTCTGTCTATCTTAAAGTCTTATAATCACACCCGCAAAACATTGCGAATTTGTGCAATTAATGAGAGCATAGGTATTGCACAATGAATTTGGCATATTATTACCAAATACTTTAAAAGCACTGAATTCTAATCATATTTAGTTTTGCAAAAATCACAAAACCACACTTCTTAAGTTTGGTTCACATAAGTGACTGATATTAAGGAAAAAAAATCATTATTTTATTATATTGAAGTTTGTTTTTATTTTTAGTATTTAAAAACAAACTGTTATTTGAAGTTCTGTAAATAATAATATAAATTTTTGGAATAAATTAACGAAAAATTTTTATAAGAAATTCCACACCATATTACTATCTTAGCACTACAGACAAAGGATATATGCATTCATTTAGAATTTTGCATATTCCAGGCAGTGATAGTGGCAGCGAGCAGAGTCTTCCTATCTCCTCTGTAAATACACTTTTAGCCATGGACAGCAAGCAACTTGGGACCACCAAAGTCATTAAAAACATTGATGATCAAGACATGAGAATAGATACTCAACAATTCAGACCTGATACTCTGTGGCAGAGACCTCTGGCAGGGTGAGTTACTGTTCTCAATTTCAGACTTGAATTAAATGGTTATTTAAAGTTTCTTAAGCAATGTGTCTTAAGTTCTATTTTTGTTACTAGAAAGACTAATGCATCTGTTATTACAACTTTTATTTGTACTTTCATTCATTTTTGACTGTAGTTCCTCAATCAATCTTGTCCTCAAGCATTTACATCGAATCTTAAATTTTTATTCTTTATTTGTACACATTTATGAGATTGTCAGCACATTTTGTTACATTAAAGGAAATTACATTTTATTATTTGACTTAGTTCCTTTACTGCAAATAGTATAAATTATGCGTTTTTGTGATGTCGTTTATGGGGAGTTTTTTGTATCAATCATTAAATGAAATTTTATGTCTTCGGCTTAAATTCAAAATTTCATTTTTCGTGTTCAGTATACAAAATAAAAAGCAGGCTAAATGATTTTTCATAGTAAGTAACTAAAAAATATTTTTTGTGTGAGATTATCTTTGAAGAAACCTGTTGTATAATTGATGAAAAAAACTTTTTTTTATAAATAGCTCCAAAGATAAGGGGAAATATGGGAAAATAACAGTAAAGGGACTAAATTTTTAACCGTTCCCCTTACTAAACTATTCGAACCATATTTTCTAAATTGTGAATGTCTCTCATTATTGGAGTATCAAAAATCCTACTTTCTTGGAAAAAGATGTATGTTTATCTACAAAAATACAAGTTTTTGTATGTTTCATAACTTATAATATTATCTTCACAACTTACTTTGGATATTTAAGGTTAGTCTCTCACATCATTATTATTACTTGTTAGTATGTGAAAATCTGATTAATAATTCAAAAGTTATATTGGTGTTCTATTTTTAATTTTGCGTACTATACTTATGTATAAATTGCCTTTAAAAAGTTCAAATCTGGTTTAAATTTTCAAACTTGCCTCTTAAATGTAATAAAGATTATATTGTGTTATTAATTTTAAAAATTTTTTCTCAGAAAACTTCAAATGGCTCATGTTGATCATTTAGGAAGAGTTACAACTGAATTTGAACCTGAACCAGATAGGAAAAAAGGTATAACTATTGATTTCATTATTTTATTAAAAATTTTAACATGATAAAAATAATCACTTTTTGTGGTTCTTGAATTTTTTTGTAATTTAGTTGCTGTTGTGCATGAATATAAAAGATAATACTCGTTAATGGAAAGCTATCATATCCCTTATTTTAATTGAAACCTCCTTAGACTCTTTTGGTTTCTTTGCAGGTGTTAAATTTAAAAACTAAGTACTACATTTTTCATAATGTATTTTTGTTATTGTTATGTAACATTTGAGGAACTTTACAACAGCATCAAAAACAAAATTACTCTTGGAAAAAAGACACACTGACTCGTGGACAATTTTTGTTTCATTAAATGGAGATTAGAGGCAGCAAACAGTTATTTAACATTCAGGCACAGCTGAACAGGTGATAAAAATGGCAGTAAAAATGAACTGGCATAAAACAAATTCATTCATATAAAAACGATCTCCTAAAATGGCAATGATCAGGGCTGATTGTGCTCCGGAAAAAATCCGGATTTCCGGAATTTTCGTTAACAGTGATCCGGAGATAGAAGGTCCAGACGTTTCAAAAAATCACAGATAACAGAAGTTTTCGCAAATCAAATTTTCAAAGGTGGAACTTAAAAACACAGTTTATTTTATTTGTTTGTAAGGGAGAGCCAGAGAAATACTTTACAAGCTTATATTCATGATTAATATTCATTTTTTATCAGTAAATAGTTGTTATAATCATAAACTCAAGAAGGAAGGACATATTTGAAAATTTTAATTACTTCTCCAGGTCACCATGGGTATGAGTAAATGGTATAGGTATGTGTAAAATTTGAAATATATTTTAAGTAAACTGAGAAATATTGAGAAAGAGGGAAAAAAAACCTTGTTTAAATTTTTTTTCAATTCAAACTGTTTTTTTTTTTTTTTTTTTAACTCAAGAAATTTTCCGGAATTTTGACTTGGCCTCACAATCACTCCTGAATGATTAAAGATAATGTGCCGACCGGCCTGTGTAGGGGGCAGGGAACTGTCCTTGCATCAGAAAGGTCCTGGGTTCGAATCCCAGGCAAGGCATGGATGTTTCTCTCTCTCTCTCTGTGTACTATGTCCTTTCTCCTTTGTGTGTGAATGTAACCCGCCCTATAAACGGGTTGTGGTTGTGTGAATGGCGTGGCAGAAGTCGAATTAACCAAAGTTGACTGAATATTTACATTAATGAAACATTTAAAATACTCCGTCCATTACATGTTCTGTCATTAGAAAATCTCCCTTCTTAAATATAATAGCTTCCGAAGTGCAACGGTGATTTAAATTTTCTTCATACTTTGGTAACAAAGAAATGTTTTTGCTTATTATTCCATCAAAAGTATTATTATTGCTATAGAGAACACTGAGACATTATCTTTAAACTAAACATTAAAAACAAGTCTTTTTTAAATACAATGTTGTTATTGTGTAACAATTTTTTTTAAATTTATGATATCATTTATTTACTAACCTAATTATTTTTAGAATCTAAAATTTCCAAAGCTGTTAAGAAACTAGTCAACTGGGAGGAGGATAAGGTTTGTTTAAATTATTATAATTTAATGATAATCTAGTATATGTTTTTGTTACCTATTTAAAAAAATGTATAACTGCTCAATTTTATCTTTGTTTTAAAAAGCTTCATTTTTATAATATTTTTTTATTAAAATTGAATTTAAAATTGAAAAAATGCATGGTGACTTATTTGTAAAGAATATGTTAATATTTGGTATTTATTTAATATTATTATTTACTCACTTGGTGTTTATTTAATATTATTGCTTACTTGTATCTTTTTTAGGCTTCCACCATTTTCTCCCATTAAACAAGCATTGTTTTCTTATTTTAATTATTACTAACTTCTATTAAGTCATTCTTTTACTAACCGGTTAAAATTTTATTTTTGAAATTGAAATTGCAAAATAATGTTAAAAGGTACATTAAAGTTACTAGTTTTAATCATTCAAATATAAATTATTGATTTTATATTATTAATATAATTTTATTATTTTCTCATTATTGTCTTAATACATTTTTCCCCTTTTTCATCTTATTTTATTTGTTAAATAAGATAAATGTATATTTTTGTTATTACTGTAATTTTGTTGCTTAATTATACAAGATAAAGATGTAAATAAATGCTAAAAAGTGTATTTTAAATTATTAAAAATATGTTTTTAATAGTATAAGTTTCATTTTGATTATTTTATTTATTTAAATTTGCATTAACTACAATTTTTGTGCTTATTAATTGAAATTTTAAAATTTAATGTTTGTAATTAATAATTGAAATTATAACTAATTATTAAACATACTGTAAGGCATCAATTATCCACGAGGGCATTATCTGCGAGTTCAGCGAAGAGATGCGTAATTATATTGCATAAGATTGATCATCAAATTTTTTTTTGATGTAACTAAACACTTTTATGAAGTTCTAATGTTTTCTTTACCATTAGAGATGTAGGTGTATAACAAATATTCATTTTGTGTTCCTGGTGTTTTTAGCTCTTAAAATTACAATTTTATGATTAAGTTCGTTATTAATTTTAAAAAAATTAATATCTCATCGCTTTATTTTATAGATTATAATTTTTGTTTCACTTCATAGTGTGTTTAGCTTTTAAAATTGTTTTATTAAAATCTTCTTTCAACAATTATTGTATAAATTATTTTTCACTATAATTCATATGAACTAAATCTCAAATTGTTGTGAAACAAAGTCTGTCCTTTTCTTCCCTCATGTAATGTTATTACAATTGTATTTCTGTTACTTAAAATAATCTTAATCCAACCAGAAAATATTTATAAGGTTGTTAATTTCCTTTTACTTAAAGTTCAATAATTTTTAAAGAGAACATGTAAAATTTAGTAAGTAATATTTTAATGTTATCTTTTAAAAAAGTATTGAAAATGAATTTTTACTTTGTGCAGAATTTAGTTTTAGTTAAGTTTTAAAATATTTTATTTAATAGAACCAAGAAGATATGGCCTGGAAAGTTGCTGAAATGATAGTAAAAGATATTTGTAGCGTAACAATGCCTACTGAATTCAATAACTGTCCAACTCAAGATGATCCTTCCTAAAATTATCTTTAGTTGTAAGTTCATTATTCTTACATTAACGCCTGTATTATTTCTGAAATCAATTCATTTGTTGAAGTTAGTAACATATAAATTTTTTTTCATTATTTAAATTATTTTTAACTACTCCTGTAGGAAAATTTTTTTAGGATTTATTTTTAAATATTTTTTTATATAGTTGAGGGAGAAGTGGACTTTAATAATTATCATACTATAAGTGCCAACTCTCTCAATGCTTTCAAGAAAATCCCTAATTTCTATGCCATCTTTGTGAACCTTGACAAATGTACACATTTTTCTATTTTTGTAAAAAACATGAAAACTTCTTAAAAAATGAATTATATTTTTAAAAAAATAGCTTCTTTTAAAAGGTAAACAGCTCATAAAAACAATAGCATTTAGCTTAATATGATTTTATTGTATATTTTTCCCTTAAGAGTATAAATGTCATAAAGATGGAGCAACTTACTATAGAAATGTTTCTTTAAATGCTTTTAATATTCTATATTTTTGTAAAAAAAATTTCGTTTTGAATTGTTAAAGCTAGGAATACATCTTTGTTTACATAAATTGTAAATTATCATCAAAATGTGTACTATTTTTAGTTTATAAATATATAAAACTTTTAAATTGTTAATGTGTAAAATCCAATGAAGGACACAGTTTTGTGTGACCAGGCATTGTTCACCCAGGGTCACGAGTACCGGACCTTAAAATTTTTTTTGTTTTGTTTTTCTGCTGTTAGTCTTTTTTTGAGTTTTAGATACTATGTAAGTACATTTATCTAAAGAGCAAGTACTGTTTTATTTGCTTAAAAATACTGTTAAATTTGCTTAATACTGTTATTTAAACCTAATTTTAGTTTTCAAATTCTTTGTTGTGCTTAATTTATTACCAAGTGCTAAGTGTGATTTATCCATCTATGGTTCATGTGCAAAAAAATTTTCTCTATGTCTCTAACTAATGCTCACATATAAAATTAAGTTTAACTACAGCAACTAAGGCAAAAAATTTTTGATGAAGAATTTGTTTAATAAGCAACAACCTCATCAAAAGAAACAAGAACTGTGCAAACAAACTTGAATTTTTATTAAATTAATTGCATGTTTATTATTAATTAACTTTGACTCAATTCTTCTTGCTCACATCAAAATGACGGTGTTAAGTTTTACTCTCGTACCTTTGATATTTCCTGGCTGCATTGGTTAAAAGTAATGCGTCAAAAAAATTGAAACAATCTATTTCTTACGTTCATAATCATGTTTATTTCTCAATCTATTAACCAGATGGCAGTAACAGACTACTTGTAATGTGTTTAGAGATAGTTTATTTTGAACTAATGGTCAGCTCTCACATTTGTATATTAAGGATTAACCAAAAAATCAAAAATTACTACATATATAGTGCTCACACTTAGATATTATTTTCTTGAATAAGCTAAGTTGGCATTTTTATGACTGTTTTCTTCAAAATTATGTAACCATTAAGGGGTTAATGCTAATGTTGTATTTTTATGTAATTTTTAAAAATCCTAATAAAATTTTTTCAGTAGGGTTTTTCTCAGGGTTAAAAAAACTCAGTTGTCCATTGGTGATTCTTTAAAATATGTAGTTATTTAATTTTTTTTTCAATATTCTAATCGCTAATTTTGATCATTTCAGGCCCACTTTTATGGTACAATGTGTACATAAAAAACAGTTTTTGATGAAAAACGGGGTAATAAATAAAATTGTGATGTGATATGGACTAAAACCTTTTTGCCAAGTCCAGTTTATTTTAGACGCTGTTAAAAACTTTGTCTACTTGAGTTCAAGTCACAAGTTCATCTCATTTGTATTCGGGGAAAGAAAGAAACTCATTTTTATGTTTCATTTAGTTAATGTAGCTCATAGTTATTTTAATGTTGAACATAGTTGCCAATTTTTAGTGTACAATGATAAATATTTATTATATTCTTTTTCATATTTATGTATTTCAAGGATATAGTTGCAAACATTAAAGCAAAGTTTATATTAGTTCACAATAGCTTGTTTTATATCTATATAATCTTGTTTATTTTTATAATGAATCATACTCGTTATCATATGTTTCTAATTTTCTTTTTTTCCTTGCATTCCATCTGATACTATTTTTCCGTTTTATTTCATATGTAACATTTTCTATTTATTAATCTCAAGCCATGTACTCATAGGATGGGCTTTCAAAAATATTATCTTTTTATAATAGTGAGGAAAGAATTCTTTGTGGGCTAAATAAAAAAAAAAATGTTATCCTCTGTGTAAGAAACATAAATATTTTTGATATTGCTCTTCTTATAGGACCAAAGTGATTTTCTTTTTAGGGTTTTACTGGGTACCTCTCTCATCCTATTAGGAGGGCAATTATAAGAAATAATTACTTTCTCAAGTATAATTTTTCTTTTTTTACTCTAATTCTTAAATTTTAAGTGTAATTCAGGAGCAGAAAATATTTTCATGTTTAAAAAATATTATATATACCCAGTATATATATATATTATAGTATAGCTTATCTCTTTTAAATCATTCTATAGTAATGATTTTAAAGGAAAAAAAGTGTTTTTTTTTCCCAACCTATGAAGTTTTAGTTATTCAAAAGGTTAATTTAAATTTGGCTGCTAATTTTTTACAAAATTGTTTTATATTTTCTACCAATATGATAGCAATACCTTCATTACTTACATACCTGCTGTCTCCAGTTTTTTACGACTATCTCCTGTTTACCCGTATGTTTTCATATTTCTCCGTAGTTAAAGAATTATTATTATTTATTTTAATTGCCGATAAAATATCCGCTGATGGCTAAAATAATTATCTTATTCCTCAATAGATGGTGCAATCGCCAGTACTGACGTTGAGTGCTAATACTTTAAGTAATTATAAATAATAGTTCAAAAAATCGTCTTTAGATTAAGATTTATATACATATTTTTTGCTTCGCTAAATGTAAGTGTTTATATTATCCCCAATTTTGAATTTCTCTTTTTGACTTACATGATTATGCATGATGTATTAAAACACTTTACTCATAGCCTAAAAATGTCGCTAGTAAAATCTCCGTTATTTTATTTCTCCAATGTTGGCAGGTATGTTCTTATATTTAGTTTAAATTGTATCTTAAAATAAATGTATAAAAATTTTTTTTACTGTGTTTAATCATAGAGTGTAAAATAACACAGGGTTATAGCACTATATGTCTATTATTTTAGTTATATATCTTGCTACAGTTACCTAAAAGCTGAAATATGTTAATTTGTGTTTTATATACATTGCTTATATTGAAGTTTTTAAAAGCAAAGGAACATATGTAAGAGTCAATATAATTTATTTCTTACCTTTAATTAATTTTTTCATACATTTCTTGATGTACTTTAATCCAAACTGAAATTGGCATGGAATCTGGTATTTTCTCATATGAACCAATTTTTTTCAATTCTATTTATTCTTAAGAATAATTATATAAATGCTCAGTGATCTGAAAAAAAAATGTTTTCTTTCGTTTTATTTCAATGTAAGTGTCAAAGTGTAATGAGCTGTTGAAATAATTTATTGTATTTTATTTACTTTACTTTGTTTAAATTTATATTTATTTCAACATTTCCAAACGCAAATGTATTTTTCAAATATTTTTTAATAACTTGTTTGTTTTGAATTTTAAAGATCATTTGCAAGTAAGTGGGAATAGTTTCCTTTGCAATATTCTTGAAATAAATTCGGAAGGGTGGGTGCCTGTTTTATATACTTTTCACCGTGTGATATATTTTTTATGAAAATTTTTATGCAGTTTGTATTTAGTCAAGCCTAGAAATTTTAAAATTTTTTGTGATCTCCTCTAAACTACACTTATTGATTGGTCACCTATAAGAAAAGGTTAAAGGGCAGGTTTTCTTCGGAAGTGCAGAGTTCATCATGTTTTGTAATGGTTAATGTCATCATAATGTTTTGAGGTTTTGTGCTTACAATTTTGTTTCTATGCTTTAAGAAAAGCCCTTGTCTTTTTTTTCTAAAGCTGAAAATTATATGATGTACCTTATATGTCACTTTTAACAATTAAAAGTATCTGCTTCTCTTTAAGTAATGAATTGAACTAGTAAACCAAGTTTGTATTAATGATGAAGAAAAAAAAGTAGCAGTTTGCTTATGTATTAATTTTTTGAGCAATGCATGAATCTTTTTTATTTATCCAAGTTAGTCTGCATTAAAAGTTGAACCATTTTTAATACTTTATCAATAAATTCCATTCTACTGTAAGAATTTTAGATTTAAATATATATTACCCATAAACTGTTATGTTTTAGCTACTGTTACATTTCATTTAAGTCATTCCATATCACATTAAATAATCATCATTATCATTGTCTACTGCAATATCAAATATAATATTAAGTTATATATTTAATGTTATAATTTAACCAAGTCAGTGTCACTGAATTGATATGTTTGTTAGTTATACCTCTTTTTTTTACATCGACATCTATTTGTTTTTTAACTAGTTTGTAATAGCTAATAAATTAATAAACGCTTTCTCTCCATGGCTCTTCCTTGCCTTTAAAAAAAATCAGGTTCTCCGAGTAAACCTGTCAAAAATCGCTGATTCATTGCAGCAATTAAGTCGAAATTGGTAATAAGTTATTGATTTAGCATTTACAAGAGTGTTTGCTTAAATGTGTTTATATAAACTTCTTTTTATGATAAATTAGTTTAAAACTTAATTTAAAAAATTACTTATCATAACAAATCAAAACTTATTATTTTTACAAATGATTTTAATATTTGTTTGGTTATTTTTTCTTTGAAAACTGTATGATGGCATTTCACGAAATATAGACATTAAAAAAAGCTGAGTGAATAGATAAATTATTTAAGTGACATTTTTGTGAATGCATGTTAAAGTTCTCATGTTAAGAATAGGAAGTGGAAGACTATGCTTTGCTTTTATTTCCTGTTTTTGAGCAACCAGTTGTAGAATGTATAAATCTTCAGCACTCATTTAAACTGTTTTCTTCATGGCATTAACACTTTTGGCATATTAATTTGCAGCCAAATGGCTGATTTTCTAAGATAACCTTTGACTGTTTATAGCCAGAGGCACTGCAATCATTCTTCTGTTCCGAAAATGCTCAGAGGTTGTATCCTTCTTCAAGATCTGAACTGTTCAGAGCTAAAAGACTGCAAGTTGAATTAATATTAATCGGACAAAAATAAGAACCTAGCCCAATTAGTCAAATTATTTTTCCTTTCACTTATCCTTTTAAATTGAGCTTTTATCCTTTTAAATTGCACTTATCCTTTTTATCCACTCAGCTCTTTATTTATTCTGCCTGATAGTGTTTGAGATTCTAGGATACTAAATATTATCTTTTGAAAAAAAAAATTTTAATGTTTCTTCATTGAAAAACATGTATATTTCCATAAAAAATGTTTAACAAAAATTTTAAAACTATCCTTTACTTTTATTTTAAGATTTTTTTTGTTAAATGAAGTTATAATTAAATTTAAACAGTATCTTTCCCATTGTATAACATATTTGTTTAATAAATTACCTTTTATTTGACCAGCTAGTTTTTGCAGCCTAGGGCTATAAAATCAAAATTCATGTTTTTTTTAGGAAAAATTAGATATATAATTAGACTTAGAGTTATTTAAATGATCATTTTAAAAAAATTTATGTTATTTTTTTTATTTTCATTTTATTAAAATGTTCAAACAATAAAAGGTAGCCCCCTTCCCAAAAAAAAAATTAACTCTATATGTATTTGAAGTCTTGTTCTAAATACTGAATCAGTTTCTTTAGATATTTTTTTTAATGTGCAAAACATGGTAGTCTTAGATAAATCTATGTTGCAATATTTTTAGTGTACTAGTAATTTGACATTTTCTGTATCTTTTTGTTCACCCTGCATTAATCTAAAAGTAGCAATTTTAAACATCTATGCAGCTATCTTATTTGTTATTTAAGTTAAACTTTACTTTGTAGTATTTTTAATTTCATCAATATCATGTGTGCTTTTTTTAATAAAATTCTTTATTAATATTAAAAAAATTTTAATTTTATAATTATTGTAATTTAAAATTTACTTGGAAAATGCTTGTGAAAAATCCCAAATCCATTTAAAATGTACAGTTTTTTTTCTCTCTCTCTCTCTCGATTAAATTTTTAAAGCTAAGGAGAGAAATGATGCCTTCAACTTTAAATCAGTCTTTTATTTGGTTAGGTTTTGGCCTGATGGTAGTAGTGAAACATCGGTGTGGCCCCCCGACTGCAAATTTTGTTGATCATTAATTTTTCTATGCTATTTATATAAAATTTGTTATTTAATTCAAAATTAATATCTGTTTATTTTATTTTTATATTACTCATAATTTCATAGAGTTTTTTTTTTTTTTTTTTAATTTAAGAATGTTATTCTTTCTTCATTAACTTTCAATTGAGCAGCTTTTGACATTAATGCAGTATAATATGTTCATAAATGTAAAATTTAATTTACTTAAATTGTATTCTCAAAAATTAAAATTGAGTATTGGGGTAACAATTAAAAAGCAGCTGTTGAAATTACTGCCTTCATCAAGTAGTTTTTATTCTCATTAAATTTCCATTCATTATTTCTGAGGAGCTATAACATCTGTTAAATAACTTCATCATATTCAGTATTGGACATAATTATTAACTATATGGGTACTATGTAAATAAATTCACTTGTGCTTCCATTGCTTTTTTGTTATTTCATTATGGTTAAATTTTTTGATTCTAAAGAAAAATGTCTTTCAATTCCTTGTTATTTTGCTAAACTGTTATGCTGGTGTATTATTAGGTGCTTTTTTTGTTTAATTATTGTCCTCCCTATTATCAAAAATGTGATTTTATTTTTACTTTTTGTAATAAGTGTTTGCTATTGTTCTGTTAAATTGAATATCTTTTTTTTCCAATATAACTGTTACCTATCATACTATATCTGTGATTCAAAATATTTAGAAACAGCTTGTAAATTATATTAAGAAAATTAATTCAAGAATGTGCTATTAATATGAATGAACTGTGTGCAGTTGTCATTATGATCAAACTAATTAAAAATAAGTTTTAAAATGTGTTTTGTTGACAACACACTGAATTTATGATTTTTTCTCACTTTTAATTTTTATTGAATTTTATTATCTAGAATTTACAAAGTATTTCAAGTCATGCAGTATTTGAAGGAATTATTTTAATAATAATCCAACTCCACTTGTTAAAAAAAACTATGTTCTTATCTCTTTCATATCCTATTTTAAAATTAGTACTATCCTATTTTAAATTAGTACTATCCTATTATTAGTACTATCCTATTTTAAAATTAGTACACCAATTTATTTCTTCTTCTGAACTGAGGGTGCCACTAAGACAAAATATGGAAAAGAATGCACTCATTAGTTAAGACTTTAAGGCTCAATATCTCAAAAAGAGCGAAAATGGTAAAGTTCCACTTTAATAAATATGGCCTTCATA